GTGTAGGGAGTCTAGGCACCTAGCTCGGGGTTTTGGAGTCTACTCTGAGGGCCAGGTGCCTAAGCTTAAGGCACTGCCGTGCCTAATTGTGTAGTAACTTGTGTTCTTTATTGAAGTTAGCCCTCTCTTCCCATAGGTATTGTAGGTCTCTTATCCTGATTGGGGCCTCTGCCTCCTACTGCCTTGTAAATATGAGATAATAGTAATAATAATAATCTAATGCAACTGTTTTGTTTCCTTTTTTGTTTCAGAGCAAACATGGCCAAATACACAGGAAACCCTCTTGACTACATGGAAAATAGTTGCATTTACTGCTACCAGTGTTTTATTAGTGCTTCTGTTGGTTATTCTAGCCAGGATGTTCCAGACCAAATTTAAGGCACATTTCCTTCCAAGGTTTGTATGTTTTGCTCCCTAGAGGCTGAACACTTTAATTTAGCTCTTGCACTGAATATTCCTTGGAGAGGACACAAAATGATAGGTGATTCTTGCAATTACCCTTTTTTCTTGCATTGACAGTAAAAAACAGAGAAAGGAAAAAGTCAGCCTGTATGGAGTGGCACTACTAGAATTCCACAGTACTTCTAGGTTTCTCTGGGACAAGAATCAGTGGCATCATTTGTTGGATTCACTATGGGGGTGATTGCAACTCTGTTATTGAGAGTTTGGGGTCTTAGGTCAGATATGGCGTCTTATGTCAAACCATTCACTTTAAAATGCCAGTTTTCAGGAATTGGGTGAATAGGCTCTTTTAAATACTGCATTTTATCACATAAGACACCCCCAAGATAAAATACACACCTTGTTTTTGACAAGCAGAATGGGAACAAAAGGGTTTTCCTTGAAAATACGGGTAAGTAGCAGTAAGTAACTGAGTAGCAGAAGCTAGGGAGCTCAGCTTGGTCATTGTTCTACTCCATTTGCAGCATTACTTTCACCTTCTGCAGAAGCTTAAGATACAGATACAGTTATTACTGCATTTTCTCACTTCCAGTACACACCCCAATTTCTAGTGTTGACTTTTGGGAAGAGGGTGCATGTTGTATGTGAGAAAATATGGTTTATTGGGCTTAGTAGTGTAAGTGCTTAAGTGAATGTCTTTGTCCTAATGGAAATCTTTGTGTGAAAATTCTGTTGGAAGTTTCGCTTCCTAGTTCTGGCCAGCCTGTGGCATGGGCTGCCTTTGTGTATGGCACAGCAGATCAGAGAGGGGACAGACAGCATGGTGGCAGATAGGGCATGGAGCAGAAAGCAAAGGAGAAGGTCAGGCAGGGAGCCCAGGGCAGGAAGCAGGAGGAGCAGCAGATCAAGTATGGGGAAGGGATCAGAGGGGCACCCAGGACGGGTGTGAGCAGGTATCTTTTACAGTGCTCCCCCACAGGGTTCTAGATCACCAAGTCATTCAGCAAGGAGCCACCTACAGGTAACCAACAGGAAAGGCTATGCCAAGGGTATGTCTGAACTCCTAGTCCTTCCCAGAGCTTAGATATCTGACTCAGGTCTGCAAGAAAGGAGCCATTAAGCCAAGATCCAGACAGCCCAGTATAAACTGCAGTCTAGGGGTAGAAACATATGCCCAGGGCACAGGAAATCTGCATTTTAAGCTCATCTCACCCAGAGGGAATTCATACCCACCCCTCACACTCCCAAAGAGAGTGCACTAAGTGTCAGACTGTGAAGCCCTCTAACCCTGCCTGGCCCATAGCTTTGTTGTCGGGGCAGTGCTCTGGATAATGGGAAGTGTGGGTTTGATTCCCCTGATGGTGAGGAGGGTCTGTAACTCATAGATTCATAGATGTTAGGGTCAGAAGGGACCTCAATAGATCATCGAGTCTGACCCCCTGCATAGGCAGGAAAGAGGGCAGGGGTTAGATGACCCCAGCTAGATGCATATCCAACCTCCTCTTGAAGACCCCCAGGGTAGGGGAGAGCACCACCTCCCTTGGGAGCCCGTTCCAGACCTTGGCCACTCTAACTGTGAAGAAGTTCTTCCTAATGTCCAGTCTAAATCTGCTCTCTGCTAGCTTGTGGCCATTATTTCTTGTAACCCTCAGGGGCGCTTTGATGAATAAAACTTCACCAATTCCCTTCTGTGCCCCCATGATGAATTTATAGGCAGCCACAAGGTTGCCTCTCAACCTTCTCTTGCGGCCTCCCACTTCCTAGACAAATGTTCTACACCAAGGGTGCTCAACCCCCAGCCCATGAGCCAGATCTGGTCTGCAGAGCCATGTCATTCAGCCAGTGGGTTCTCCATGGGTCTGAAAATTTGGCAGTGGGGGTTTGGTAGCAGCATGCATTGTCTCTCCCTTGCTGCCAAATTTATGGATCTGTGGGGAGCCTGGTGGGCTGGATAGTGTGGCCGTGAGCACTAGATTGGACACACATACCATTGGGCGAAAAGTGAGCATGTCTTCCAATTCTGTTTGGTATTAAGTAGTATGCTTGCTTTCAGCATCAGACATTTTTGTGAGGCATGTTTTGACCTTGCCAGAGGGATCAGGGGCTTGGACAGAGTTAGGCACCTGCCGGTATTGATTTGGATTACAACAGAGGTTAGGTAAGAGGGATGTGACTGGCTGGGTGGCTGAACTGTGGTGTTTTTGAGGAAATGTAATATCCCGGTCTAGACACTGGGGGAACTTCCAGGCCAGAAGGGAGGCACCTAATGAATCTTGGTGCCTCCAATGTTGTAGCTGCTGGAACATGGCCAGTTTGGCTGACTCTCTGTTATTTAGGTACTTAAATGTATCCCCTTATCATGATCTGTTAGGACAATAAGGAAATTCCTTATTGTCATACCTAGGTTTAGACTTGTTCCTGGTTCCCAAGTCTGTGCTTAATCTCTTAGGTAACACACCTATCTGTCTTTTTTCTCTCTCTCTTGAGTTTTGTCTTTCCATCATTTATAGCAGGGGTGTGAAACTCATCGGTCCCCATGGGTCAGATGAGGGCCACTGGACCATATCCAGACCAACCCCTGTGCTGCATGTGGTGTCCATTGGGCTGGGACTAGCCCCCCCGCACTGCATGTAGCACACACCAACCTTGCTTCGGGGTTTGCAGTGCACACAGCGTGAAGGCTGGACCCACCGTAGTATATAACACAAAGGGTCTGTGCACCCCTTTGGGCACTCTACTGGACCAGCCCTGCCTGCCAGCTTCAAGGCCAGTCTGGATCGGGTGCTAAGCTGTTCACATGCACCAGAGCCCACATACGGATCTGGTCCACATTCAGCCTATGCTGCATGCTGGCCCCCTGTGCCGTGTGTATTGCCAGATCCAGCCCTGCACACGTGCCGCATGTGGTGCACAGGGCTGGGGCTGGTGCTGGTGCTACCCAGAGGCCATGTTTGACACCCCTGATTTATAGTAATGAGAGATAGGAAAGACACACATTAGGAATACTAATATGTCCTCCTGCAGGTGGAGGGGCATGGTTATATACACAAATGAGAGCCATTAGCTTTAAGAGGCTGCGGCAGTGACAGGCCTCATGGCCTATATACCTCCAACCTGCTGAAATAAGTTTCTCTCCTCCTCGTCCTCTTTCAGATGTTCCATATGCTACAAACACATGGGACTAAATTCTTTCCTGGTGGGCTTCCATTGTTGACTGTTGTTAGACATTTTTTTAGATTAACAGACCTAAAATATAAAACCTAAAAATGGCTTTTAAAAAAATATCTTCCTACTAGTTGGGGGAAAATGGTCTTCCTTCCAACCTAAGGGCAGCTATAAGCTCACAAAATCAAGCTCAAAGTTTGGTCATCCAGTGCTAATGAGCTTAGTATGATTTTGCATGTGCTGCAAGCCTTTTGCTCCAAGGATTCACACACTTTGAACTGACTCACCCCATCTGTGACAATATATCCCTGATAATTATCATGCGTGAGATAGGAAAGAATGTTTTTTATCTCTGCATGCACCTGTTTTTCTTCCTCTCTCCACACCACGCCTTAGTTTACCAGTTTTGTTTATCTCATCGTAACAAATTGCACATTAGTATCAGCCTGAATGGATTTCTGCATCCCTATGAAGCAAACATTCCTGTGAATATTAGTGACCATTTCACATGATTAGAAAATGTTGTACTCAGTGGCGTTTGTCAGCTGAAGATGCCATTGAAGCATTTGAAGTCTCCATGATAATCTATCTGCATTTGATGTAGAGGTGTCCAGGAGAGTTCCACCAGTGACCCTGACTTCGTGGTAGTGAACGGTGTTCCTGTCATGTTACCTTCCTATGATGAAGCTGTGAGCAGTGGTTTGGACAGCTTGGCCCCAGGGTACTACTCGTCTTCTTCAGGGCAGGGGCATGTTTTGCAGACGGAAGATCAGAACCCTCCTGCTTATCCAGGCACAGCAGATACACACACATTGCCTAGTGAATTTGAGACCTGTGACAGCATATCAGGCTCCTCTGAACTTCTCCAAAGTTTATATTCATCTTCTGTGTGCCAAATGGGAGTGCACCCTGTTTCAGATAGAACTGATGTGATCAATAGTGCCACCAGGGAGGCTGCATCCTCAAGTCCAAGTATCGATATTGCAGATGGTAAGTTTTACTTTGATATGATAGTAGGATGCGTGTTGAAGGCAGTTGTCCAGAAATACACAAGCCATATGTTGTGCTTCAAGGCAAGGCCCCATAGCCAACCTTGTTTTCTGTGTCTGTTTACATTCACTTCATTTATACGTTTTTTTAAAACAAATTCTTCACTGTTCTTTGTTGGTCTAATAAAAGATATCAAATTCACCCAAGGAACCTTGTCTGTCACTGTTCTTTGGGCTTTTTATAGACTCCTAGCTAGGCTTGATTCTCCAGCAGTGGGATGGAGACAAATCCTTCTCCCCATAGCACACAGTGGTAGCTGTGTCACTTCAAGGAGAGCAGTGACAGACGGATGTGAACACCAGTGGATACGCCTGTGATGTCTCCTCTTTTCCCCCTGCATTACTGATCTGCCCAGCTTGGTTCCATGAAGTCCCTTTCATGAGTGCCTTAAGTCCTTCCCATCTGACTCCTTTACAGGCTGAAGCACACTCAGCTATTATGAGTGATTGTACATTAACAAATTGGTCCCGTCTGTATGTATAGCACATAAACTCTTGAGCATCTAATGCAATTTTTCCCTCTTCTTTTGTCTCGACAAATCCCTACTACAAATATTAGGGAGCCCAGACTAATTGTTCACTCCAGCAATTGGGTACATATCACTCCCTCTTGCCAGAAGCAAGTTACAAGGACTTGCATCAAGATGCTGAGAGGAAATGTGGTATAAACACAGTCACTTGAAATTTTAGGCCCTGGCCATGGAAATGTTCAGACATTGGAACACAAGATAAGATGAATGTTTCCAGGAGGCTGATTTTTTTTTGAAGGCAACAATGTCATGTGCTCTTGTTTACTTTTATACAACTCATAAATATGCATTATTGTTGCTGTTTTGTTGTTGTTGTCATTGCTGCTAAGTGACTGTGAAGGTGTATTTCCTAGAGCAGAAAAATTAATGACCCCCTACCTTGAGGTTTCAGTCTTGCATTTGATGGTTAGCAAGGCTGTGTCTGGATCTAGTCTTCTACCTCCATTTTACCAGTTACAGAACTGAAGCCTGATGTGCTGATCCTGTCGTGGGCTCCTTGTTGATAGAAGAGTCTTTCTGTACAGAATTCATTGCAGGACTGAAGCCAAATTTAAACAGGATGTAAGGGCAAGAGATTCCAAGGGGGAAGGAAAGGTGGTTGTAATGTCAGCAAGTCTGTGGCTACTTGATGAGGGCTAATGCATGGCAGCATGAGGTAGTAAAGGGTATAGAGTAAGCTTGAGTTTTATAGGGATTTTTTGCTTGTATGTTTTGAAGTTTACAATGGATGCTTTAATTGTCTGTTTTCCTCTAGGCGTTCTGTTAGAAGTGAGGGGGGACTAGTATGAGAATATGCTGCCAGATTATTCATAATTGCAGACTGTCATATTGCTTGTTTGCAAACTGTGTAGCACTGTATAGCTGTGTGAGATGGTACGCACCAAACAAGTAAAAGGGGAGTCCCTGCCACAAGACAATTACAGTCTTAGATCAATAATTCTCTTTTTTTCCTTTGTATTCTAGAAATTCCATTGATGGAAGAGGACCCTTAACCTGCACAGGATTTGCTCCTGATATGATCACACTTTGGGGGAAATGAATCCCACGCATGTATACAAACACGTGTGCACGCACACACACACACACAC